CGTGTAATAGCTGATCTTTAATGGCGTTTTTGGGATAAAATGCAAAACAGCCAAAGTTCAGAGTAGATAACTTTCCCTTTCCGGTCCCTTGGACCTTTTGAAACGTTGACAAGGGATTCTCCCTAAGACCCATAACTTTATCACCAATAATTGATGACGATTAATTGCTTGGAAGATAACCAATGCCCTTGGCACCACCCGGTGGTATCACTAAAGCCCCTTCTGATAGCAGGAAATAATCATCCTTGGGCCTTTCTATCTTACCCTAGTAATGTTGATCATTTTATAAATCATGGGTATAATACCTGCCTGTAATATAGAAAATGCTTTTGGAACCACTTGCTGGCACCACCACCACTTATTACTGATAGTGGTAATTTACAGTCTTATAGATTCATTAAGTTGTCCCAGTAATAATGTTCAAAACATACTTCAACCTAGTTTACACTTGTGCCATATTTCTGTTTACAATCGTTATATATTAATCAAATTTCAGGTTAGCTTATTGGCCCTGTCATATTCTTGTGGTCCCTGAAGGAGTTGAAAAGGAATTCTTCCTGAAGGAGTTAACCATTTCCTAGTGCTTGTTTGTTCAATTGGATAAAAATTATAAAGTAATTTATTTCTTATTTTTCGGTTTTTAAATTGAAAAAAAAAATTGTTCAGGTGAGCCTCACTGCCTCTGAGTATCTGATTTATTATGTAATTAATTGTTGCATTAATTTTCTAATCATTAACCATTAATTATCTAAAATAACGTATTAAAACAGTACTGCGTCTGAGTACTCTCAGTTCTTTGATGAATTTCCTTATTGGCTGCTAGCTTCTACGCGCTTAGTGGCTGCTGTTATTGGCTGCTAGCTTCAGCCTGGTCATTCTATGAGCTAAGTGAGCTCTGTAATCTTTGATAACCTGTTTTCTTTTAGCTTTCATTCAGGCTGCTTTCGTGAATTTTTTAAAAATCTTAATGACATTAAACTTTAGACTTTCAGTTGCAAACCCATAGGCTTAGCTACATGTATCCCCTTTAATTTGTCTGTGAATTCATTAAATGCAAGTCAACTTTGCAGATAAAATGAAAAACAAAGAAATAAAAACAAACATTGTAGCAAAATACGCAACTGAATTTAATAAGGCAAAAGATCTTTCACTGGTTTTTCAAAAATTTTAGTATACATGTATATAGCTATTCTTGGCAACTATTCAGAAGTTGAAGGTCGCAAAGAGAATTGTCTTATATTTAACATAAACAGTGTATTTTATATTTATTTTATCATTTGTACTTCAGCATTTTTCTATCATTTTTAAAATCTTAAAGTAGTTTCCTTGTTGGGCAATTTTTTCTCCTTCATTTATCATTTCTCCATCTCGCTGAATCATTCCAAGATCGTGCCGACATCATTTTTTTTTTCTTAGCTTACCTGAGTTGAAGGTTCAAGTGAGCTTTTCTGATCAGAATTTTACCTTTATCTACCATTGTTGTCGTCGTACTTTTCACATTTTCGTCTTCTCCAGATCTTTCACCAGTTGGGCCAATATTACCATGCTTGCCAAAAATCATCTTGAATGAAGGGGATTCTAGTTTGGTAAAATAAATGGTCGCTCCATCTTTTAAGTACAGGGGAAAGTCATGATTTTTAAAATATTAATGTGGAAGCATCTTGAGGTAGTGTAAATTTAAGATGGTTCAATCATGACCCCCGGGGTAAGGTGGGACAACAACAGGGAATCAAAGGTTTCATTTTTTTTTTCATTTCACGATGGGGCCACATTAAGCTATCAAAGTAATATATATTGGAATACATGTATATAGGAACAAAATACTTAGAAATCGTTTCAAAAGTAACACCATGATTAATAAAGACGCAAATTTCTTTAATTGATCAGTTAGGATGGGACAAGTTAATTAATATAAGTACTGAACTAATTACCAATTTGAAAGTACTCTGGTGAGCAATGTGGCTCATAGTCCTTTTGCTACAGAGACTGTAAAAAATATTAAATTCAGCATTCCCTTTTTTTCTATTGAAATCTTTAATTGATCTTTTCATCCTTCATTTATCCTTCCTAATCTTTGAGTGCGTGGTTGTCATATATGCAAGACTTTTATGTTCCTGTAATCAAATTAGATTCAGGGGTATATAGTTTTTGCCCTGGCGGTCCGTCTGTCTGTTTGTCCGAAACAAATTTTTACCCCTTACCTTTTGATTATTTGAGACTGGTTTTCATATTTCACATGTGTATTCTTTGTCACAAGACCTTTCTTTGTGTACCATCAAACTTGACCTTTTGACCTTGGATTCTGAACCCGTTTTGCAAAATTTTAACCAACTTTGACCTGGGCCATAACTTTTGAATTTTTGGGGCTAGAGCTTTCATACTTCACACATGTAATCCTTGTGACAAGACCTTCCTTTACATATAACCTTGACCTTGGAGTTCGATCAACTTTCAAAAAACGTTAACCTTGGTTATAACTTTTGAACGGTTAGGGCGGCTAGGGCTTTCATGCTTCACATATGTAATACTTGTGACAAGACTTTCCTTTAAATACCACCTTGACCTTGGAGTTCGTCTAACTTTCAAAAAACTTTAACCTTGGTTATAAATTTTGAACGGTTAGGGCGGCTAGGGCTTTCATACTTCACATATATTATGTAATCATTGTGACAAGACCTACCATTAGAAACCAATGACTTTGAACTTGGAGTTTGAAAAAAAAAAAAAAAACAAAAAAAAAACGTTTACCTTAGCTAAATCTTTTGAACTGTTAGGGTTATGGCTTTCGTTATCCTATATTATATATTCCTTGTGACAAGACCTTTAGCAACAAAAAACTTTTATCCTTTGACCTTGGAGTTTGACCTACTTAAAAAAAACTTCAACCTTGGCCACAACTTTTGAACAGGTTGTGCTAGGGCTTTCATATTTTCTAAAGTGTATTTCTTGTTAGCCGACCTTACTTTGGGTACCTACATCTTCGATTTGCATTTGAGAAAGTTTAACCCTCGTTATAACATACGGGGGTATCAGTGTTTCACAAACACATTTTGTTTTTTTTTTAATCAAAGGCCCGATAGAATGGAAAGAAACAGCCATTGTTCCCACCTTCAATAGTTTTTGCCAGTATATACTGTACAAAATAAAGTTAACTATAATTAAGCTGCCCCCTCTCTCCAATTATAACTTCTATTGATTTTAAATTTTTTCTTTGGTTTGACGAAGGCCAAAGTTATGCAAACTTGTCACATAATATCCTTGCTTTTTCAAGTTTGTTCAAATTTAGGGAGAAGACAAGAATCAGTGATATTTTCGTGGCATCCTTTATAAGGACCAGCTGGCAAGGAAATAAGAAAATTATGTCGAAGTAGTTTCTTTGCGTAGCGATTCAAACATATTAAAATTATTAAATAATTTCTCCTCGGGGTAAGGTATGGATATAATGTGTGATCGAAGTTTCTACTTGAAAATTTATAGGAAAAGTTCCTTTGAGTTGTGTAATTAGTCATGTTTATATGGAAACAAGCTAAAGTAATGAAGCTTTAAAGTCCGTATGTCCCCGTGACTGAAAATTCTTGGGCGTATAGTTTTTGGTCCATTTCATTTGTCTGTCTGTTTGTCAGCATGCAGAAACTTTAACATTCCCCAAAAATTTTGATTAGTTTGAGCTATCGATTTAATATTTTAAGTGTAATCCACATGACAAGACCTTTAGTTGATTACAATCATACGTGACCGCGTGAACTTAGAATTTAACCCACTTTTGCAAGCTATAACCTTGGCCTAACTTTTGAATGGTTGGTGCTAGAGTTTTCATATTTCGTCATATGTACTCCTTGTGGCAAGAGCTTCCCTTAGGTATCAAAAACTTTGACCCCTTTACCTAAGAGTTTGATCTACTTTTGAAAATTATTTACCTTGGTTTTATCTTTTCATTGTTGATGCTGGACCTTTCATGTTTCACAAATGTATTCCTTGGGACATGCCCTATCCATGTGTAACAACAATGTAGACCCTTTCGATTCAGAATGCTAGTTTTCATAACTTTAACCTTGGCCATTAATTATTGAACAGTTGGTCCTGGGGCTTTCCTATTTCAGTCTTAATTTCTTGTGTTATGGCTTTTCCATGGAAACCAACAATTTGACTCTGACCTTTGAGTTTGTCCTTGGCCAAAACTTTTCAATGGTTATTGCTAGAGCTTCCATATTCCAAGTCTATTCCTTGTGACAAGGTTTCTCTTTGGCACCATCAATTTTGGCCCATTAGTTTGATATATACTTTTGAAAAAAAAAAACTTTTTATATTTCACAGCTAGGTGTATTCCTTGTAATAAATGCTTTCTTTGGATATAACATTGTTCTCTTGATCTTGGAGTTTGACTTAAATTGCTTTAGAAACTTCAACAAACAAGAGCTGCCATATGAGGGAATCAGGAATAGTAGCAGAATAGCAGGGGCAGTGACTTAAGTGAATAATGTGGCTCATGGACCCTTTTTAACAAGAAATTTCATCTGCTGTTGATTAGCATTTACACTGCTTCTCTCTTATCGATTTTTATACAGAGAAACATGCTTATAGTGAATAGACTGATTTTGAATTCACCCTTATAGGAAAGGAATTTTTATTCACTGCATTTTGCAACTTATTATAAATTGATAGGATATAAGGATATAACAATTATATATGTAACAAATCAAAATCTCTTGACTCTGGTACTTCACTACAAGCAAATTTCACTATATATGTAACCATGGCACTTCACTATAAGCAAATTTCACTGTATTTGTAAGCATGATCCCATTTATAAATTTTTCACTCTTTTACACTTTGAAATGAGAACAAACACAGATATCAGTTGGATATGCATTCCTCATGTATTTCAACAAGTTATGTACAAAAACACTAAATTGGAATCAAACGATCACAGATTTTGCCTTATAAAATGTGGCTTACAACCCCAAATCCACACTTTTCTCCGGAACAACAAGGAAATATGGAATTTTCCAGTGCAACTGTGAAAAGACAAGCTGTTCTAAAAACTATGTATAGTGAATAAAAAACAGCTCTTCTTTAGTTTCATGTAGTATTAACAAACATCTCTAAAAGAGCCGGGCCCTGGGGCTGCACACCTACACTTGGTGGTGCACTCGAGGGGGGAGGGGGAGAGAAACAGCATATACACCAAGTATAATTTCTGAACTGGATATAACAAATGGTGCAAGATTTGGGTTAATATATATACTCTCTACACTAGAATTAGGGAATTTGAAAAAAGATTTTTCTATAACATGTATAAAAAAACGTAACATATGGATCTACCATAACACTACTAAAAGTATAGGAGCTCTAACAGAAAACACCCTCCTAAGAAGTGAAACATTTACACTCTCCGTAACAGGCCTCGATCATCATCAATTGGTGTTTAAACACAGGGTTAGATTTACAAAATCTAACCTATACACAACAGGAATCTGTAATGGATTTGTATCTAGGGTGATAATTATCAATCAAAGTGTTCTTTAAAAATGGCTATTTCATGCACCACGACCATACATGTACACATTTTCAACTTCTACCCTAAAATGTGATGAAATTGAAAAAACAGTTCTGTCACATTCATTTAAGTGTTGAATATTCCTTACATACAAGTAAAAAGGCTTTTAATAGAGAGATTTAAGATACTACAATGTAATTGTAGGCAGAATACACTTGTATACAAAGTGATTACATTTCTGAGTATAACCATAGTATATTAATATCTACTCTATTTTAATATACCATATTCTAAACTTCTCTATTCTACAGTCCTTGATGAGCATAATAACATCGTATACAACTTAAATCCCTGGTTTGTACATGTATACATATTGTAAACTGTAGCTTTGAGTTAATATTTAAGATATAATCTTTGAGGAATTGTATAATACATGTAAGGTACTCCCTCTATAAATACTATTACATGTACCCTGGTCTTTCACAATGAGAATTGCATTTTGATCAATTGCATTGCAAAGAGCAGCCATTTTTCTTAATTTGAATGATTTGAAAAAAATTCATACATGTATGGTTATCTGCCCTTCATACTTTTTTCCAGCAAAATTATGATGTCTGATAAAAGATCTTATAATTTCAGCATATATATAATTATGGTCTTTTGTAGTCTAAACCTTACTTCTGAACATGTACACATAAAATTGATAATCTCAACCCGTAATTACTGGGTATATATTCTAAATCACAAAGAAGTTTTTACAAATGACAGTAATGCACACACAAATAATGCCACTTGTAGACATTTGGAAAGCGCCCTCTCCACATATGAGAAAACGCAGTAAAATTGAACATTAGGGGGAAAAAAAATACTATGAACATGAAATACAAATGTATATATGTACAATTACATGTATACAGGTTAGATGATGTGGAAAAAAATTAGTAATAAAAGAGTGCTAAAATAACGATGCAGGAAAAAGGATGCAAATGAAAGACACTGTAATAATTCTACCAACTATCAGAGTATAAATGTACAGGATCAATGGAATACCTGGACTAGACTTTGAAAAAAAAAAAAACAGTACCTGAATTTATGTCATGATTGGAGAAGTAATATAGAAACTGATTCAGCTCCTTTCTGAATGAAGGCAACATGTTATAATGGAACTGAGTGGATGGGTTTTATGAATGAAGAGTACCTGGTAATAATGAAATTCATTTTAACAAATATTTAGAATTTAAAAAAAAAAAGCAAAAATGGGCGGTAGTGGAAACTAATAACATGTTCTACATTCCAGTGAGCATATTTCTAATTAATGCCTTTGAGTTCGAAAAAAAGATGATCCGGCTTAATAAACTGCCAAGTCATGCAAGAATTTTCAAAGCATTTTTTTTTTAAAATAGTATCACACTTATAAAGCAAGTGTTGTAAACATGAGAATCAGTATTTAAAAAAAGGACAAAATAATGGAGAGGATTTCATATATCCACAGCTGTTAAATTAACAACCGTCTTAAAAAAAATTGATCAAAATAAAATACTGGATTTCTATTGATTGATTGCACCAAAATAATAAAACAAGTAAACAAACTTCAAGTTCTAATACTAAAATAGGATATTATGCCATTATTCTTTAAAATCTTAACATTTCGTAAAATATAACAGTATAAAACAAACAGAAAAGAACTTTCCCAGCATAAACTTTATAATCACCACATTTTACCGTTTTCATCAGAAAATTTGTGTTCAACAGGCTGTATCTAGAAATAAATCCAAAATTTAATTTAAAATAATTGTTGATTATTTAAGGTACGAGTTCAAAATTTACTAAAATTGTATGATTACAGCCTGAATTAGTATCGGTAAGTTTGCACTTTATAAACTGCAAAGCTTTTTTTGTGATTTATTAAAAAAGTAAACATTTCCAACCCAGGCTATACAAGTATATGACTGGGTTATTAATAAATGCATTCCTTATTATTCAATTTTCTACCATAAAGTTAAGAAATAGGTCAACAATAAAAAAATCTGAGCATTTGACTATACCTTTCAGTCACAAATAACAAGTTCCTAATTTGCAAGGGAGATTCAATATTAAAAAAAAAATTAACAAAAAAATGAGATTCAATAAATTCTGTTAAAAAGATCCTTTGATTAAAGAAAAAAATCTTTGAAATATCAATATAAGTTAAAGTAACAGCAAAACATCTTTAAACCAGAAGATCTCTGATACGACTGTAGCTCTACTGATCGTTGTTAAAAACAGAATCTGGACTTGGAACTTAGCAGCAATGGCAACATCGATGAGTAAGAATTGGTTCAGTTTACATGTGTACCAAGTTTTATCTAATTCAGTCGATAAACATAGTTGTAATGATTTAAATAAATTCCAATAATATTACTATACCTTACTTAGAGTAAACTTTGCAATAGCTACATGTACTTCTTCATCTAAATCAAAATCTCAAAAAGAGAACCACATATATGTACATGTATTTTAGAAACGTCTACTCATCTTCAAAGCATTATTGATAAGGCACAAAACTGTAAGAGTAGAATTTTGAAAAGTTATTAATTATCAACAGACAGACAGTTAATCTCTAGACAACAGTCACCTTTCTAATGCTTAGGCTCTTCAGGTCTCTGACCAGTTGAGCTAAAACCATGCAATGCCATGTGTAAATGCAGAAAAAACTATGCACAAGAAAGATAAATTAATTGTATATGATATGAATGATTATTTTGTGCTAGTGAACCATATACTGATATTAGTAGGCTAAAAACATTGTAAACTATGACAACCACCTGCTAAAAAAAAAAAGAAAAAAAAAACAAAAAAAAAAGAGAAGGTATAATGATGAGTATTTCAGCTATAAATACAAGTCCAATTACTTTAAAAACTACAATTATAAACTCAAAAGAATTAAGCTTAATGAAAATCAATAGGTTCTTCTTCATGATACACATGATTTTGTTGAATTTTCTGGGAAACAAATTTAAGTCAATATTTCACATATACAATGTAGGACTTATGTACATTATGAAGGGCACATAGTTCTACAATTAACCCATTTTCACCATTAACACTATTGATGTGTGAAATACAGATTTAAAAAAAAAAATCAATAATGATGAAATTGATTCACATCACTGAGTACAATTTTAGAGATATGAAATGACTTCAAAACCTGCATGTATTGTAAAATTGTTACTTCTATTTCATAACAACAAAACAATCCTTGAAATCATTGCTGATCTTTAACCTACCATTAAATCTTCCTAAATGTGAAAATTTAAAACAAAAAACTTAAAATCAAAAAAAAAAAAAATTACAGGCTTTTTATGAATAGGTTAGATTGCATTTAAATTCTGAAGTAATTTTCCATGCACAATTTTAAAAAAAAATTCCATTGTTAGCTTATTTCCATACAGGTATTTTGAATGTGTTTTGCTCATAATACAATCTGGTATGTGTACATAGTTTTAACTGTGTCAATTCATTCCCATGATCAGAGGAGTGTTTTCTGGGAACACAGCAGTCTTGTACATGTTGTTCTGAGTGAGTAGATTGTACTGGCAAATCTCTTTTGTGGCTTTTTCTTTAGCACAGAATATTGAAAGAAGTTGCTTCCCTTACTTCAAACTTGCACGAAAATCCTGCTGATTGCTCTGTCTGAAAATATACAGAATAAAAATTCATGCTTAAACAATTACAAAACTGACATTTTATTTAGAAGTTAATCACAATTCGAGTGTTGTGAAATCAAATTAATACATATGATAAATACATAAACATATAACATAAACATAAATAAGATACTTTTTTTTTTAAATTGGTGTACATATGAGATGACAAAACTCTTGCACAGCATGGCAATTGAGAACAATCAGCTGTTTAGACATCTACAATCTACAATCTTTGAACAACGTTGCACTTCACTAAGTTCAGTCATATATCTTCCTTTTCATTAAATGCGTAATGCAGATGCTTGTTTGACATTCCTTTAATTCCACCTTGCATCATTTCAGAGTGCAAGTAAGTAAAAAGAAATTATCCAAATAAAATTGATAAACAATTTCTGTTTGATTCACATAAACTATCCTGTTCTTATGTATGCCATTAAGATTTGTACGAGATGAATTGCCCTTGTGTTCCAACCCGCACCACCCTTCCCAAATTCCTCTGACAACTTAAACTTAAAAAATAATAATTAAAAATAAAATTGGAGGAAAAAAGTACAAGATCCAAATAATTATCAGGACAAATCATGCATGCATTTACTGGATTTGCACTATACCAAGCCTAATCTTTGCACAACAAAAAATAAAAAAGAAAATAAACTCTTGATCACTTGATCTCATATACTTATATAAATATTAGCAATACTTGCAATATGGTGTACTTTTGGATTATTAAGCTTAATGGATTAGAGAATGCTTTTTAATAAGGCTATGTTCTGAAATGCAAATCCAACACTTACAATCTAACATTGAGATTTTTTTCAGTTTAATTGAAATGGAAGGAACAATTAGTTCTCATAAAGTAATATTCTCTTACAAGTTATTGTACACATAACATTATCAAGTCAAGTGTATGATTAAAATCTTTTGCAAGTCTCTGATTACAATATTTAAATGTTTTATATATTGGTTTTATTTGCTTTTGCTTTAATATGCAAGCTTCTTTCAATCACTGAATCAGAACTAAAATATAATAAACACAGTTTAAAAACAGTGGTACAGTACTGTGAGCACTGAGCTCACAAAATGATAGCCCCCACCCCATCCCTACCCTCACCTCATAAGAAAAGGATGGCATTGAAAGTGTATATGGTTTGCTATGACAAACCCAAAATACCGGTCCCATCCTAATGTTTAATAGAGGTGCACAATTTTAGGACAAAGTAATAATTCTATGAAAGTCTTTATAAATTTTATTCAGAGATGTAGAAGGAGTTGCAAACAAAAGATGGGTATCCTATAGTATAGAAAGAATAGCAATGTCCAAGCATCTTTTGCTTTACCGGGTAAATGGTAAACCCCTAAAACATAAATGTTTCCTATGAAAAGGAAAAATATACGGTACATAATCGTACATACTATATATATGTTAAAGATTCTGTGAAGATTTCTTGGTACCACTATGGTACATGTAAGGATAGTCCAAACTAAGACTTGCTTCTAGTTACTTCAGAATAGACTTTGCATTTCCATCCATTGATGCAGGGGAATATTGTATAATAAGATGATGTGAAGATGAGATAAAATATCTGTGATAAATATCTAATATTATAAACAAGGAAACTGAAAATTTGATTTTATTAACAAATCTTAAATGTAAAAAAAAAATGTTACATCAAGGTTACTTCCCCCTCCAAAATAAGGGTGAAAAACACTTGCACAAAAAAAGATTTTTCTTTCAAATTACAATATTACAAAGATTAAGCATAATATCAAGATTAAAATTCTCTCTTCTCTTATTTTAATAACTGGGAATCCCTATTAACCAAAAAAAATCTTCAATCAGAAAAGTACATCAATTAATGATAAACATTAACACATAACTTCATATAATCCTATTCCATCATTAAGCCACATAGAAAATGAAACAAAAATTGATCAAAAACTGTGTAATGCCAAGTCCTTACATGTCTTATTTATCTTTTTCTGGCACCTTGCACACAGTATAGATTTCCCTTGATTTGCCAGGCTTATATCTCAGTATAGCTTGGCCTGTATGTGATCTTAACACTAGAAATCAATATTCCCTGATACATAAGCATCAATTTTCTCTCCAATAGGCTGAATTGGAATGCAAATATCTGTCATTATACGGTACAGTAGTGAACTGTTCAGAATATAAACACTCTCAAATCATGAAATACAATATCAGAGGTTGAAATTTTAAGATGCCCTCTGTGCATACTGAAAACTGACTTTCCATTATTTTTAATCAGGAATGTAATTAAAACTCTATAATCAAAGTAATGCTGCAAACACTATTAAAGTACAGTTTGCCATTAAAAAGAACAAAAAAATGATGGCGGTTTAACAATTTTATCCAAAGCTATACAGATGAGATCTGCTTCATAACAGATAAATTACAGTCAATAATATTTGCTTTGCTTTCATATCCGGTTGTTGACCTAGTAAAGCTTCAGTGTTGAAGAATACTTTCCAAACACCATTTTCCTGAGTGATATTGTACATGGCTTACTTGACCACAATCCAAAATGGTCTTCATGTTTCTCAACAGGCACTGTCCCTAACAGATAAAAAGTCCCTTCATTTTTTTACCATACCAATGTATATGTTAACTGAGAGAGGCTTTCAGCGCCTTACTTAACATCAAGTAGTTCACTAATTGACATTCAGACTCTGTACATCTGCGTTTTGGAGCTAAACTCTGGGATTATTTTTGATACAGTATTCTTCAAAAATTCAGCATTCTCATTACTCTGTGGATTTGTAAACAACTTTTACCAAGCACGAACCATTCCATTTGCATAGAATAAATGCAAATGTTTCTTGGCAGTTCCTGAGACTGCTTTGTCTTTGATCCCCATGGACAGACTGTTATATGCCTCAATTGATACTTTTCCCTTTCATGATGTTTTATGAAAGCTGTTGACAATGGGGGAATTGAATATTTTAGCACCACTAAGTTTCGGCTTACTATTTAAACATTCTAGGCATAAGTAGATTTGTGACCTGAATTGTCCATTCTGCATTCTGCTTGAGTCCTGCATGCTAAATGGATATTACAAAAACAATCCCAAAAACAATCCTTCATATTCATTTTCAAAAGATTTATATCAAACTTTGGAGAAAGAAAGTTATCCAAAATAAATTTTATAAACCAAATAACATACATGCAGTGACAATTCAATTTCCAATTATTTTTGTACATAAGTTTGGGTTTCTTTATCCCCCCTTCTTTTAAAAAATCATATGCAGTAGCTATAATGCATTATGCATCTTCAATAATATATTTTTAAATCAGTTTATGTTAATTTGGCCCTCAATACTATTTAATTAAGCCACCGATTTCCCCTCATAGGATCTTAGACTTTATTTACAGCTTAATACTTCTCTGAACTTGATATCATATAGCACAGAAGTAGGAATCTACAGCTACCTACTGGATTCAAAGAAGAGAATTAAAGCACTTTTACTGCAATTAATCTCTTTTGTGGATTAAACCTATACCTCCTGCACTAATATATAATATTAGAAAAGTCCCAGTCATGATAATGACTTAACCTGAAACTATGCCAAAGAGATGGTATTCCTCGAAGATTAAAAATAAGTTGATTGAAAACAGTATTCACAGTATATTGAACCAAAGTCGGCCAAGGGCACAGATAAACTCTTTCACCAGAATTCTTCTGGTTTTCATCTTCGGATTCAAAGATGGCGGAATTTGCCAATTATACCATTAAAATTCCAGATAACCAAAGATCATTGACTGTTATGTCGTTTGAGATTTTTTTTTTATGTACACTACATGTGACTTATAAAAGTAAAAAGACATTTCATCTCCCTATAACTACCATAATAGAATTCTACTTATGTTAATGTATAGTATCATATTTTTATTATTATTTATGCCCCATTGTAGTTAATGTTGACAATTTACACTACATTTGTGTAGATGGAGTAATTCTTGGTGTGTGTGTACACTGAAGTCTCAGCCAGGGCAATACTTATCTGTTTTGTTTCTTTCAGAGATGAAGACAATCAGTTTCCATTTGTACCATGTCTTTGTAATTACTGTAGCTAGCAATGTCTGATACATTCTTCACAACATACATAATGACTAACACAGTCACAATGCCAAGATCCATAAATAGATTCCAGTTCACTACTCACTTGCCCATTTTGCTTGTCAGCAAGTGTTTGCTCCGACTACACTCAACAATCATTTTACTCTATCTAGGTTCAAGTTGATGCAAGATTCCCATTATCTATGAAGGAAGCTACTTTGTATTTAGATAGAATACTTTCTATTTCTTTCTTAACCATCTGGTGTAAAAAATAGATACACAGAGTTCAGATGTAACACTCCTAAACCACCTACAGACTTCATCCTTCTATTCTCTCTCTAAAGAAAATCAATTTACACTTATCACTAGTTTTTTTTTTTATTTTTATATTACAATCAAAGACATCTGCCTTTATGACAGGCAACAGAACAATAGAATTTTTATGAATTTAAGACCCTTGTTTCAATCTAAAGACCCATGCACCATAATGCTCACCAGATTTTTTTTTGTGACTACTACATGAACAAAACAAAAAACACAGCAGCCCAGGACAGGGGATGCTAATAAATTCACTTGAGGAGGAAGAAGGGGAGGAGGGTGGGGGCATGATCTTGGCTATGATTCTAGTACTCTTAAGTGCTACTACATATGTTAAGCTTTACTTGCTGCAGTTGGCAGACTCTGCTTAACACTAATTTAAAATTCTGGGAGCTAGATCAAGGCAAGCAGATTCTCATTCATCAAAGTTCCATTATTATTTTTCTATCAATGTTTTCCAAAGATCCCAAAAAGTTTTGATTTCAACCTTTTGCATGTATATGAAACACCTTTTGGGTTCAAAGCATCTAATTTTTAAAATACCCAGTAAATAATAAGGCCAGATATTCAGATTGCTTTACTTTCTTTA